CTGCCTTGTGCCCTATATGCTTAGGGCCTGGAAGCCACGAAAAGTACCCCCCTGTATTTCTCATTTGGGCCTCTGCCTTGTGCCCTAGGCTTAGGGCTTGAAACAACAAAACAAGAAACGTAGCCCTCTACATTTTCAAGGGTTGAGAACACGTGAATCAAGGATCTTACCGCCCAGCCATATTAGAAATGACCTTACAGCATTGGGTACCCTTCATGTCTAAGCTACGAAGAAGGTGTTTTGCATTTTCGGTTTCTTGGTGCTACGTTTCTTGTCGTACAGGGATCACTATGCTCGTAGTCATAAGTCATAAGCTCCGCGGCTCCATGCTCAATGCAGGACAGAGAAGTGGCAATTGAGCCTGACCTGGCATCGCCTCAATCCAACTATGAGGCGGAGCCTTTCGCACCTTGCTCATTCAATATTCCGACTCGACTGGTGTCTATTGCTGGCTCAACAGGACGAAACTTGTCGAGTTGATGAGGCAGCGGGCGACGTGGCGGAGCCCAGTACTCAGAAGCGGCCGCCTCGGCAAGAAATGAGAACGCTGTGGAGAACAAAGATTCGGCAACGATATGGGTTTTGAACTTGTGAATCTGGGTGCATAGGATGATGCAAAGTGATGGGATAGCTGGGGGTGATAAAGACTATGAAGAGCACCGGTTTCCTCGAGACACACTTCCTTGTGCTCAGCACGGAAGGCCGAGTCGCAAAAGTTAAGGAACAAGCTCTCGGACGAGTACCGAGAAGTAGCCGATGACCCAGCTACCAGTGGAGGCAGCGAAGCAAAGACATGGCTGGAAGTTGAGCAGCTGGACTGCAACGATGTGGACTGAATTGCGAGAAGCATGAAACTTTCTGCCGTGGTGATCACCTCAGGGAATGGAGGGAGAATTCATGCCGTGCTGTCCCTGGGATTACATCCGACAGCAGAAGACGCCAGCTTCCGCCGGACTGGGAGAGTGCCCGCGACAGCGACTTTTGGCTGGCACGTGGGCGTATAAACGCGCATAGCTTACGTCAGATGACTGCGTGTAGTACCGCGGTACCCTTTGCCTGATCCCCTTTCCCTTTTGGTCCACGCCTCTAGATTCCAGACTCTAGACCTAGCTCAGAGCCTGAAGAATCGCTCAGGTCGGCATGGCCGGCATTTTGATGTCTCGCTAGCTCAGGAGGGCAATACCTATTACTACCACTGCAAGGACCGTGTGCCGCAGTGGCAGCCGCTCTGTTGCTTTTGGTGAAGTGCTGCAGCTGCAGCTTTTTGTGTCAGGCGACCGGCCGGTTCGGATCACTTTTCAGAGAAGACCCTGTCACAGAGTCTGAAAACCCAAGATGATGACCCTACTGTATAGAAGTCGCTCAGAGTATCTCAGAGTCAGGAGTTTTCAGCCGTCTTGGGACACAAGCTTGCCTCGGCCTTGACACGTCGTGAGGTTTCCGATGACGAGTTAGTGGTGCTACAGTGAGTGGCAACTTGGAGCAGAGCACGAGCGCTTGCTTTCAAAGTCGTATGTGAGTCGTGCGGCAGAAAGTCACAAAAAAGAAATGATAGACCAATGCTATGGCGAAAAGGGCAGTGTGAAGTAGAAACAGTACGGCAAACGTGGGCGAGCAGCTTGCCGACAGCTTGTGCCATGACTTGTGTAGTCAGGAGCTGCAAGGCTGCAGAAGCACATAACGAGACGACAGACGGTCACTGTCAGCTCGGTGAGAAAAGCGTGTGGGAATGACTCACGGTTTAGTATCCTGTCTGTGCTGAATTCACGGCACGAGAGAAAGCTAAGAGTCTCTCCCGCCAAGAGGTGTCCTGTTTGGGTCCAGGGGTGACAATATTGGAATCTGCACACATTGTCGGCATCTGTCGCTGCAATTGCTCATGGAGCATGCCGCTGTCAGGGCAATGGGGTAGCAACCTTGTGTCAGTCGACAGCCTCTTTTTCAATTGACAGGTGCACCCTCTACGAGGCATTGACTTCCACGGTCTTCTCCTTCCGGCACCTTGCCAAGCCCAGGCGAAACGCGGAAGTGAGATTGTGGTCATCCATTGGTCCATGAGCATTCAAGGTAAGTTGTGCGCGGCACGATCATCACCTCAGCCTGGCCCACCAACATCCATCGTAGATCTTCGAGAATTAATTAGCCTGCAGCTGCTGGAAGGGCACGGTTCGACACGAACTAAACTATCTTCATGGTGCATGAATCTCGAAATCACGGAATCGGCAGTATTCGGTTGTTTGCCTGCGTAGGGGACGGAGTCAAGCAATGCAGGAGGCAACAAATGTGACAGACCTGGCATGGCCAAAGCACTGTGTCCTTGCCGTGCTTCAGGCCTTCCTGGACCGCCACCTTGCCGCAAAGAAGCGACTGTTTGGAACTTGTCGAGTTGGAGTTGGAGCAGCGGTAGCGGGGCTGTGGGATTGGGCATGGGGTTCAGCTAAAGTTAAGAGAAGCAGATAGCAGAAGAAGCATCGCTGCTGAAGCAGCGGCAGAAGATCCCTGCAGCCTGCAGGGTGTTATGGACGGAGCTGGTCGTCGGAAGTCCGCCTCTGGAATCATTCCGATGCAGATTCTGCAGGAGGCCAGGAAAGTGCGACCGACTCGGCCTGGGTCGACTGAGCATTCTCGATTCATGCTTGAAAATCGGAAGTCGCGAGTTTCAGAGTTTTTCGAGGGTAGTGTCCGTCTTGAGTTTCGGGGCGGGGTTTCAGGGCAGAGGCCAGGTCAGTTTCGGATCCAGAGAAGTTGAGTTTGGGATCTGGGCGCGAGCAGTTTAAAGTACACGTAGCAACTACTACTTAGTACAAGCAGCAGTAGACTCGTGGCAATGACTACTCGTACTCTTCGTACTGGTACTAGTAGTACTGCAGAGCTACAAGTAACTACTCGCAGTACGAGCAGTACCACTCTTAGTATTGCTCTAGTGGTACTGTAATAGTCACCTGGCAACATCCCGAAGTCCACCCCCGACATCCCGAAACTGACCACCCCGCGCCCCGAAACGGACCCCACACCCCGAAACCGATACTCGGCCCCGAAACTCACCCCCGTGATCCGAAACTCACCCGCAGCCGATCCGAAACTAGGACCCCGAAACTATGGGCACCCCACAGAACTCGAGTGAAGGCTTGGAGTTCGATTCTGTCCTGTCGCACCAGCCAGGCGGCGAGTCTTGGACCAGGATGGTGAGATCAGCTCCCACGATGTCGCTCGAACTGCGCCACGACTCGAAGCTGTGTCAGACTCCGGCGGTGGATACAGTTGTCCGTTTGCGGAACGGAGACAAGTTCGCGCTTCTTTTGTGCTCGCTCAGAGTCCACATGCGGTGATGTGGCGTTTAAGTGAGACTAGGAACCGTGTTTGGACCGTTCTCGCGGGTCATGTGCAAACCCGCTTCTTGCACGGGAGTCGGGGGCTGTGCATGCACTGCATCGGCTTCTTGTGCTGTCTTCCTCAACCATAAAGGTATCGTCGTGCAGCTGCGGCCGCGGGCTTTCAGCAACCACGCCGGTGCGAGGACGCCATGAAGAATCTAGAATGCTTGCTGGGTGCATCTTGTTAGCAAGTTTCAACCCTCGCTGGTATCTATCTCTTAGCTCGGAAGGCGTAGTTGCCTGGAGAGCCTTGGCGCCAGGCATCTGCAGAGGCCACGCTGAGGCGCCTCAGCCAAGAGGAGCTTTCGTTGCAGGGAGAGCCGAGGCCTCTGTTACAGCATTCCCCGAATTTCTGAAGCTTGCACTGCAGGATGGCGAGCTGCAGTGTGTCCTGTGGTCACGACTGGGTTGGGTGCTTCGCCACAAACATCGAGCAGAATGCATAAGAACGGATCCTGCTCGATTCGATGTGTTTTTCTGAATGGTTTCACGGTGCTTTTCCTGGTAGCAATGCTGTGCCACTTGAGGCATCGCCCCTGCCTGCGCCGTCCTTTGCGCTTTGTGATGCAGAGTAGGTCTTGTGGCGGATTGCCGATGAATGCCACGTGCATGGCAGCGAACCCATCCAGTGAAGCTGTATGCACAATCACGGCGGCAGATATCAGATAGCGGCATGTCTGATGTCTCGCGCTTGGTCGGGCCCATGCCAGCCACAATTTTGCCAGCACACCCATGCGCCGCCGCCGTCGAAACCACCCCAGCCATCGCCGCAAGCACCAGCCACGAGCCACTAGCCCAGCCGCCAGCCACTAGGCAGCAACCAGCCAGCCACCACCACCAGCACGGCGGCCACCACGACCAGCATATGACCCAGCAGCTGAGGTATTAAGCACCAGCACGAACACCATGCCGTTCCGTGCCGTGACAGTGGTCGTTCAAGGGTGCCAAGCTTCACCAGCAGGCCGATATGTCAGAGGAGCAGTCCAAAAAGCGCGTCGCGCCCGCGCTATCAACGGTTTCGACTTCGATGAGGTTCTGTACCGGGCTGTATGAGCGAGTCTGGAGCGGCGGCGGTGACTACGCTCGGTAGACCGCATGTTCAGATGGCAGTGCCCAACACTGCAACACTGAATCGCTTGGAAACCTGCATGTTCAGCGATGTTAACCGATCTTAGGTGAGTGCTGCGTCAAAGGTCCAGACATGTTTCAATCTGAAAGGCTCAGATTCACTTGGCGTGACTTTCGGCCTAACTTGGATGAAGTGGGAAAAGCGTGCGACACTTGCATGCTGTGCGTTGGAGTTCTGCCAGCTGAGAAACTATTGCCCGAAGCATGGGGGAAGTGCTGCAAACAACATTGCTCCGAACCTTTCATGCAGAGGCAGGAAGGATATCCTGGACCCCACCTCAACGGGGAGGTCCGAATGTAGGTGTAAGTTTTGGTTGCCATTATGCATGAGGGATAGGCAAGCAGATGAGTTCCAAGGTCTTGCTTAGCTGCTAAGATTTGTTCGCCGATTTGACAGTCAACCCTCATGCTGCAAACCCAGTTCTGTCAGAGATTGTTAAGTCCGGTTTGATCCTATCTCGGTTCTGAATGCCATGACGAATTTCAGTTGTGGCCAAGGTGATGTGAGGTACTGGATCACGCTGAACGCAACTAGTCTCTTGAGACAGTTCAGCCATCTCGCACCGCCGAGTACACACGACAAAAGCTCTTTGACGCTCCTAAGGAGCCCTGGTGTGCCTGCGCTTTGGGATATGGCAGTGGCGAGCTTCTTGGGCTGAGCATTGAGCAGCGAAGAGTTGCTGAAGGCAGCGCTGCAACCGAGGCATGCCCCGGGCCACAGAGAGGATGCAGGAAAGGAACCGCCGCACGGCAAAGCACAGCGCAGCTCTTTCTTGGAGTGTTAGAGATCTTAGACTTGAGGCCTAAGCCGGGTGGCAGTGCTCGAGTTTCCAATGCTTAGCACAGCGTCATTGGAACAACATGATCAACATGGCATAACGGCACATCCCCTCCTGACATTGCGTAGCTCGTTAGTGTTAGAGTCTGTCAGAGTTTGCTCTGAGTCTCAGTGCCACAGCCACGAAGGTACCTTGCTGCCCATCACATGCTTCTGGCACACGCCAGAGTGCCTTAACGCAAGCAGGGCAGTCTTGGGAGGCGTAAGGCCTGTGAATTCTCCCGCTCCCAAGGCCGTGAAGTGCTACCGCCAGAGCTATCAACACATCCATGGAGGCAGCATAGGCGGGATCCTTCGCGGTCTGATGTCGCCAAGTTTGAGATACTGCTGGTATGCCATGAACGAGGGCCTTCTGAGGTGGCGCAGTGTCCGTACATTGGCTCAAACTTTACTTGGGCATGGCTGATGCCAGTTTTTATCGTATACTTGGAACGTGCTCCACTAATCCTCGGCCTTGTGTTGATGAAGTCAGGACAGCTTCCGCATGCCATCATCAAAACAACGCTACATGCGAAGAAGGACTGGGCGAAGATTGCAGCAGTACGCATTCCACGCAACTTGCCCCGCAACCCAACCGAGCCGACCCCTTCATTGTACGGACTCGTTCAATCACTACATCAGTTTCAAGCACAGCGATGGCGTCGGGGATAGCCTTCGCAAGCTTGGGCCGTCCTTGGCCTCACCAGGTTCAGTGTCTGCCTCAGCTGAACAGCTGACAAATCGTGACGCTGCACAGGACGCTTTCTGAAGAAGCAATAGTGAGCGAACTCCAGGTTTCGTCCGAGCACAATTCTCTGCTCCAGATCTATATGAATATGAGTCATCTGGGTGAAACTGGTCGATAAAGTCGTCATGACACTCTGTTGGCTTACAGGTCGCACGAATAACTTGCTACATATTTCCACAACTGCCACATGGAACGGCCTGCAGAAATGCCAAAATCCGTAACAGCTTGTGGCACAATTTCATAGCAGTTGGCAGCATCTATCATGAGGATCGTGAGAAGATATGCGCAGTCGCATTTGCTGCGCTCACTCGGTAGTCAAGGCAGCATGATCTTCTCAGGCCTGGCACGGTCGCAGAGTGTCTCCAGCGTTCCGCACCATCAGGCGCACAGCCATTCCTTAGAAGCAAGCCTTCGGGAGAAGTCCGCATCGTCCTGCTTTCACAATGGCATGGCTTTTCGATTGAGTTGTGGCTGTGCGCGTGCTCCTTTTCTCCTTTGGCCGAGCTTTTCTTCAATGCTAGTTCACTCAGATCTTATTGCTCTGTCTTGGCAGTACAGAGTGCAAGCCATGCCATTATGTAAGCCTTGTCAGGGGCGCCCGCGCCAGATGGGTCCTTGCGCCCGATGCTTAAAGAATGATAGCTTGATCGTGAGCTTGATTTGCTTTCCGGCTGTCGAAACGTTTTCTTGCGCCACAATGTGCAGTTGACAGGTAGCGGCGTCGCCACTGCAACCTTCGCAGGCTTGGCTGCTGGCCTGAGGCAAGCTTTGGAAGCTTGAATCTACAGCTCCTAGTGTGTCGCTGCACGGCTAAGCAGCTAGTCGCTTGAAACATCCCGAGAATGCCCGCGCAGGAACTCAAGCGCCGGGCGCCGTGGTGTCAGTCGTGCCGCAGGGACTGCTGGGCCGACAGCGATTCAAGAAGTGATGCGGCTTGGGCTGCACTATCGTCCTCCATGGCTGGAGTATACTGGGCACATGCAGCACATGAGCAGATCACTGGATAAGATTGGGGCCGCTTTAGTATATACGGCGGACCCTTCCCTTCCAGCAGCGTCCAGCATGGAATTCGTGCGAAACCCGGCAAGAGGATCGGCTGCTGCGAAGCATGATCCAAGGCAAGCTCTGGAGCAAGTGAAGGATCCCGACATGGGCACGGACATTGTGGCCAGTGGGTTTGTGGGCCAGATCAAGGCACTTAAACAGTGCGACCGTATGCCTCTTTTGAATTCAACCGTTGCCAAAAGCGGACTGCATGTGTTCGCGACATCCTTTGGCTTAGTGTTCAGGCGGAGCGCATCACCGGAAATATTTCTTTGGTACTTGAAGTGGAGATGTACAAGGCAGAAGTCGAGGAGACCTGGGCATGGGCCAAGAGGTTGCAGAAAAAAGACCTCCGCAATGGGAGTCGTAGCAGAGCAGCCCTTGTTAGCCCACGTCGACGTGTGGCTGTCCCCCTTGCAAGGAGCGGCTTTCCCAAATTCCTTGGGCAAAGTCTGTAGAAGTGCGAGTTGGCTACTCAACTGAATGGAGCATTTGCCTGTCCCAGAAGCCCGTAGGGATTGTGTGCGGCAGGTGTTCAACTGCCGGGATTTTGTCCCCCCCCCAACAATGTAAGACCCAGCCTCCGTAATAAGAGTCCGGATCCAGCATCAGAGCCATTGACCTCCACGGGCTTTAAATCCTTTTCAGTTTCGTTGGGCCTTCATTTATATGAACAAGATTATGGTTCGCTAGGATTCTGCAAATACGGCGGAGGGGTTTCTAATCAATACGTCCAGGGAATTGGATTTTTCAATTACGCGGGGGCTTCTAAATGCGAGGGTGACACTAGCTGGGAGCTATCGCAAATTGCCTTGTCACAGTAGTTGGGCTGCCGGCCCTGCAATTCCACATTTCCCAGGTGCCGTTCGCCAGCAGACTTCCGCAACAAATCCGCCTCGACCTATGCCACAGATGCCGGATTCCTTGAAGAATGTGAAGAGCCTTGGATTGCGTTTCAGAAGGAGCATGTTCCAGCACCCTGCAGTAGCATTTCCGCAGATGTTCCAAGGACCATCCTGGCGGTCTCGTCTTGCAAAGGCCAGGCGCTTTGGCGTTTTTATGCGTTTTTCCTCATGCGCAATCGGCGACACTAGAATGCACAGTAGTCTGCGAGTGCCGCTGAGAGCTGGGCTTGCGGAAGGGGGAGTTGGAAAGAGCACGGTGGCTGTAAACCTGGCCTTCTCGCTCTACCAAAAAGGCGGGATGCAACACCGAAGCGTGTCAGTTTGGTCATCTGCCGTCTGCCTGCTTGATGTCGTGTCGTGTCGTCACAGGTTACAAAGTTGGGATTTTCGATTGCGACGTCTACGGCCCTTCCTTGCCGGTCATGCTCCGCTTTCAGGACCATCTTACATGCGCTCACGATGCGTAGCAGACAACACGCCGAAGCCTCGATTGCAGAGCCGGCGCACTTCTAGGCGGCAGCCAGCTGGGAGAAGCTGCCAAGTGAATAACCCACCTGGAGCCTAATGGACCAACTGCTTCAGCCACAGGAAGACACACCGAAGATGGAGATGTACCAGGATGAGCAAAAGCAGATACCGGGCTTAAGCGGCACCGCGTGTCCCGCAATAAGAGCTGGGCTGCATGGCATATCTGCTTTGCAAGTCTTCTAAGGTTCATTTTGTGAGGCTGTTTTCCGGCTAAGGAAGCACATCAGGCCCGTCATTGATCCGAACACGGGCATCAAGATGGTTTCGTTTGGCCGCCGGGCTTGAGCCAGCACGTCCATTTGTACAGATTTTTGCAGGTTCTACACAGTCTACCTGCCAATTGACCCGGCTCCGATTTGCCTGAGGCTTTGTTGGACATGCTGCCGTGATGCGGGGCTCGATGGTCACAGGCAAGGAACACGATAAACGATAGCTGGAAAATGGTCGGAGCATCTTCGCCTTAGTCGATGGAGTCACGATTTGGCCCAACAAGGTTTCGAAGTCATTCCCTGTGTGCGTTCTCCAAAAGTTCCCACCGGAAGTCTTGAGGAAAGATGCGACCTATCGGCACTGCAGATTCAATGCAGGCCCCAAAGCTTTAAAACCAGACGATCATGTCCTGCAGGTGTCATGTCGCAGTTGGTGACCCAGACGGACTGGGGAGAGCTGGACTACCTTGTTCTGGACATGCCACCAGGGACCGGGGACATCCACCTGACGCTTTCGCAAGTATGCCAAATCACTGCGGCCGTGATCGTCACAACTCCTCAGAAGCTCAGTGTGATCGATGCCCCTTGTCATATATCGCCCATTGGAGCACAGTTTTTGCATAGTATTGTACGGACCAAAGATGGTGATGCCGCTAGGCCTGATAGCAGTATGAATCATGCAAAGGTGGAGCGGGGGATCTCCATGTTCAGTCAGCTCAACGTACCATCCGTGGCGGTGGTGCAGAACATGAGCGCCTGATTTGCAGTGAGCTCAATCTTTAGTCTAGAATGACCGGTCGGCAGGGTCTCAACATTCTCAGTGGGGGCTGTTTGTAGGATCGGCTTGTTTAAATGACCAGGTATTGAAGGAGTAATTGCCGTAAGAGGAACCTGTAACAGGAACCGAGGCCCACTCCGTAACAGAAACCCCGTTCCTGTAACAGCCTGGGGAACAGGCTTCGTAACAGGAACTGTGGGTCAGGCACCGGAACTTGCTTTCACGTCCCGAATTTCGCTTTGTCGTCCAAACTCGGACTGTTTGCCGGTCCCCCACTTATAGGACTTCAGACCTATGGGTTGTGATTGGTTGCAGTACAACTTTAGTACTGGAAACGTCTCGTTTAGGGTCCTGGGGACTGCACTTGGGTGTAGTTCAACTTGAGTACTGGAAATGCATCCTTTGGGGTCGTGGCTGGGTTGTGCTTGGTTTTACTAAGCCTCTAGCACTGGAAATGCCTCGTTTCGGGCCCTGGCTGGATTGTGCTTGGTTGTACTAAACCTTCAGTGCTGGAAATGCATTGTTTCGGGTCCTGGCCGGATTATGCTTGGTTGTTTCACAACTTTAGTACTGGAAATGCATCGTTTCGCGGCCTGGGTGGATGTTGCCTGGCTGTGTTATTCAATTCTATAGATGCCATGAAAAAACATGCGTGAGCATAAGTCTTCCATGGCCGTATAAGCAAGGGGACCGAAACTTGGTCCCCCAGACAAGACCTCCAACGTAGTTTCGGTTCCTTGCTTTCCGGCTGTAGTTTCTGTTACGCTCTGGTTGCGGTTCCTGTTTCTACGCGGGTCGGTTGCCGTTAGTGTCTCCAGGACTGGTTGCCGTTACTACCCAAACTCGTTCCTTGCTCCCCGCACCCGGTATTGAAGTTACGGAGACCAATCCTCGGAAACCATGCAGTCAACCGGGATAACAAGTTCAGGCTACATGTCGCTGCCGAACGGTGAGCGACAGTACATCTTCGGGCAGACGGATGCTGGCTACGCCATTGCAGATACATTTGGCTACTCGGATGCACTAGCAGTGCAATAACAAGCAGAAAGAGTTTTCATGTTTGAACACTTTGAGCGGTGGTCTCGCCAGAAGAGGGACCGTTCGGGTTTCCCTCAATCTGCGAAGGCATTGAGCAGGTTTTCGAGCTCCCGATCGAGGCCTCAGTCGCAGCAGCCGGCTACCTGTCCGATGGAAGATGTCAGCATCACGGTCCAGCTTGAACTTACGTAAGGAGTTCATTTAGAAAGTGGGGCTCGCCGTGCAGATCCAGATTGCTCGGACTGCTAGCCGTTCGACGGTCTGCTACGCTGAGAGTAAAGGCGAATCTACCTCACAAGGGGCAGACTTGATTTCTGTGTGGCTGGGTGTTGCCAATAAAGGGGAATTCCGCCCCATGTCTTGCATGATGCCAAGGCGACTCTGGCAAACCATTCGGCAACAAAGGCGATAGCGAGACCGCCAAGCAAATGGACAAGCCGCTTCATTGCAGACAGTCAGCCTTTGTGGTTGATCGAAGCTTCTATGTTGGAGATGGCACTTCTGTGTTAGGCAGGGCGCGTGGTGACACGAGTTGGCACGGTACTTCTGTCGCGAATGAAGTAGGGATATGTACTTCCGGCGACACGGAACGTCGCTATACTCTAAATAGACGCATGCCTGATTTCGTTCTACTAGTCCAAGGCTGACGGAGGCTGTAATCACTGAAGTGGAGAAGATCCACGAGAACCGCCAGCAGCCGGAGCTGTCCTGGGATGGCTCCTCGACTGGTCGAATGTTGTGATGGCCTTGGACATGATTTTTGCCGCTCTCGGACAGGTGAACGACGGATCCTCCGGCTGAAGCTCGCAGGTGGCGAGGAGTCAGAGGGGTGGTGAGGAAGCATGGCATAGCAGGGGAAGGTGATGCAAGGCTTTCCAGCTGCTCGGCTGCTGCTGCTGCTCCTGCCGGTTGAAGTGAGGGCATTAGTGGCGCTGTGGCCGTGGTGGTGTAGCTTGTCGTGCAGGTGCTGGTGGAATTCGGCTGGGACAAGGGTATTTGGGATGTCCATGGTTTGTAAGATGCGCACCCGTCTAAGTATGCAAGTAGCTCAATAGCCTAGCAACACTGGAGCTGGAGCTGTCGAAGGCATGAAGGCAGATACCAGGCGAGTAGCTCGACTCATCGCATTGCCATGCTGGTGGCAGGAGCTGGGCATTGACCCACGAGAGCTGCGGCTCCGCGACAAAGGCAGCAACATGTTCTTGTCTCGTCGGTTGCGCTGCTGTTGACAAGCAGACCCCAAATCACGAGATGTGTGCGCATATGGGGCCCGAGGGAGGGATCTGGATTGTGGAAGCGAACTACCGTGCCACACAGTGGGTGAATTCGAGCAAGCTGAAGTCTGGAAGCCCGGCAATGCTCGGAGCTTCCAGCGTGCTATCAATGCGCGGGATGATGCAGTGATGTACTCAGGCTCAGGTGTCGTGACCATGCAGCGCGAGGGAGACTCTGAACACCCTCCATCCTCAGCCTCACGCCTCAACTGACCTCCAATGACGAACGACCAGAAGAGGTGCTGGCGGAGTGACACCACCACCTGCAGACCTGTCTCCAGACGAGATCGTGGACATGGGAGACTTGTTTGCTTCCAATCGTTGGCTTTGATCTTGAGCTGGCAGGCTTGGGACTGAGTGACTGAGTAAGCTAAGGAAACTATGCCGTTGTTATCAAGTGGTCCGACGGAGTGGTTCAAGTGGCACCACACAAGTGGCCTGGCTGTCGCAGTCAAAAACCATCAGCACTTTCTCTACCAGCACAAACGAAGAAGGATTACCAGAAATCCGACAGACCAGCATGTTTCAGAGATACCAGTTCGATGTCAGCAACCAGGCAGCTTATCGACGGAGACGAGAGAGGTCCCATGCCGCATGTCGAATTGGAGACTGCCTGAGGCCAGACCAGCTGCAAGGGTTGCAAGTCTCTGCATCTGCCTCTAGTTTGAGGTTTGCTTGGGTCATGTGGCATGATAAGGATGCCAAACTGAACAGAGTTGAGAATCCAACAAAGCCTTCATTATTTATCGGGGCTTCCTTTTTAAGTTCCTGTCTGCTGGGATTCGGAATATACACGGCTGGCAAGAGCTTGGTTTTTCGGAAGAGCCTGCCTGTGTCTTCGATCTACGTTTGACTTTCGCTCCGCGATGCTCCGCGCTTCCGTATCTTTGACCATTGACATTGGCCTTAGATCTAGCATCTCCACCTGCCTTCCCAAAATGGAAATGCCGAGAGGGGCCATGACTGCATCATGCTGTGTGCTTTGGTGGATATACGATTGCCTGGGCAGGCGGTCGCGGACACTCTCAAGTCAGACGTGGCTAGCTGGGGCTTGGCCCTGTAGGATTCGCTAATGACCAAGCCTGTGAGGGTGAGTGGCATGTGGCGAGTTGGGAATCAGCACCTGACCCGAAGCTAGCCTTTGCTTGCTGCTCACCCTCTCCTTGCACGAGTGTCGCCGTGACACCAGAGAGCGAAGCAAGCACAAAAGCTACATTTGATATTGCACGACACTACCATGCCGTCTGCTTCAAAAGTATCGCAAAAAATAGTTGCAGCTTTTTGCAGATTTTCCCTGCTTAGCAAGTGCCGGAGTCAGAGTCTGCTCGTCGGACCCGGGCCTTAGACGGCCGTGGCGCTCTGGGACTCGAATCAAATTTCACTGGGATGCCACGCTGCGACAAGCCGGGGTTCTGAGATGTTCTGAGGCTTCAGCTCAAAGCCCACGCAGGTGTCATCCCAGCATACCTGGTCTCAGAAGCGATGTGCTGAAAATGTGTTCCCTTGTCACATTTGTTTGCCACGCACGACACGGGCGGCGCATTGCAATGCGAGAGGTATCACGCTGAACATGGACTGGAAGGAAACGAGGGCCTGGATTGTTCTTTTCGCCGGGGGGATTTTGTGTTCCTAGCCCGTGCTGACATGCCTGCGTTTTAAAGACGAGGTTAGCAGACACGGCATGCACAAGCATCGATGGTAGCTGGTTGCGCGGTGTTGGGGGGGGGGGGGGGCAGGGCAGGCAAGAAAATAGCAAACGGCCATGTTTTCAGGAACCCTTGAGCGACAGTGCTGCCGACCAAGCCGCGCAACGACGTGTTTCGGCTAAGAGTTCCGGCGACGGTTTTCAAGAGTCATATCATGTCATTGGCAGAACTTGCTACCTGTATGTGATGGCAGCATTTTCAAGAATGAGGTGCTTTAGATTGGCAGCTCGGTTGGTTTGCCGATCCGATCTACAGAGGCCGCCGCACACAGCCGGGGTCAGCTTGGACATCAGGTTTTTTGCAATCATTTGTGTTCATTGATATGATGCAGGTTATCCCAAGGCCCAAATTTCTGGTAGAGTGAAGGCGCCTACCCAGCCACGATGCGCGAACGCTGTGGAGATAGGCTTCCGGAGTTCAGCGACGAGGAATCCGGCTTTCAAGATGGAATCGCGCACTGAGTAGTTCTTTCGATCTGCGGTCGTTGAATCCAGGAGGCGGCGATGCTGAAGGGATCATCAGACTTTTTTGGGCTTAACCACTACTCCACCGACTTCGTGTCACAGGGTGAGCAGCCTGCCAGCACCGCAGCCACATTGCAGATTCCCTGTGTGTTATTCAGTGTGACTCTGGTCTGAAGCTTTGCCAAGGGATGGGCCGCCAGCTGTTCCGAACTACTTTGCCGACCAGGAGCCGGAAGAGAAAGTGAGGTTGTCGGGTAGAGTTGCGATTGACTGAACATGCACTTCAGTACATCGGTTACTGCATCTTACTGCCAAAGCATGTTCCATGTGGAGAGGACGTCAGAAACGTCTCAGATCCGCGATGGCAACTTGGTAGAAACTGAGGGAAGATCTCGAAAGAATGTAGGGTCGATACTCAGCGAAGGCCACTGCAGAGCTCTACGGTATTGTCACCTGAGATTGGCAGGCTTCCGAATCGTTAAGACAGGTCAACCCGAAGACCTCGAGCTTGAACGGGCGTCAGGCGTCACAAACCCCCTTCACAACCTTGGTTTACGCCATCCGTGAAGGAGCAGCTTTGTTTGTTTCACTTTGAAGTTGTTATGAGGGCAATATGCCATTGAATGGCCTTCTCGCTGTCGTGCCCGGTGCCCTGACGGCCAGACTACTATAGGGGGTTACTTCGCACATGAGTAGCTTATGCTTGGATGAGAGGTGCCTCGCCACTGCATGGCCGGTTCTGGCTTCGTTCCCAAACTGTTCTGCAGAACTGCAGGCAACGCACAGACATGGGCTGGGACATCGTCCCGTGGGGCTTCGAGAAGCTGCTGTCTTGGATACAGACACTTGGCCTGCAGTTTCTTTGTGGTATGTGCTTTTGCACCATGTTTTGCCGCACGGGTTTGCCAGTATGTGGGATGCTGACATGGAGATCACCTCAAATTCGAGTTCCCTGTCTATGTCAGTACGATTCAGATTGAACCATTCACAGTGGTTTGAGCGACGCACTTCATAGTCTGGTAGGCTCTCACGGTGCAGTCCATGGCCTAAGGAAGGAGTACGAACCGACGGGAGGCATACTTGCACTTCGGCGAGGACTTCGTTGTTAGTTGATGAATGAGAGCAAGTGGCTAAAATCCAGCAGCATGTAAATATGGCATTTCCTTGCGCGACAACTCAATTCGCTGATGCTCTCGGGAACTCAGGTAACTGAAAATGGCTGTGCTGTTCGAGAAAACACGGAGGCCGAGGCAGTTCAAGAACCTCGGGCAGAAATCCTACGTGTGTAGCATTGTGTAGCACAGTCTTGTATTGATCCTTCTGCAGTGGCTCCGTCTCAGTTTTGGGGTTGGGCCGAGGATACAGCTCGGGTCGAGTATTTGCAAGGCTATCTTGCGCAGCTGCACAAGGCACCTTGTTGAGCAAACCGGATGTTGGGAAGATTGAGGCTGCTGCCCTGGGCGTGATGTTTCGAGCGAGACCCCTCCAAAAGAAAGCAGCATCAGGCAATGGCAAACGGAGCCGTCATCAAGGGCTATCTGGCTCCCCAGTCGCACCTATCTGAAGAAGCGTTTCGTGCGCAAGCACCACGTTGCAATGTTGCACAGCGTTCTGCAGAAAAAAATTAGTCGTCATGCTTGTTGCTGCATGTCCTGTAATGTCCTGGTGCTTTGAGGTTTGGTCTTTGCTCGACAACTTCGAGTGGGCATTTGGCTATGCCAAACGCTTCGGGATTGCCGCTCGCTGTGAATCTTCTTGGCATCCAAAGAATCGCTGTTCTCGGAGACTTTACGATGCTGCTTCTACAGCAGTGCCCACAGTCAGATTGCTTGCATCGTGTAGGTGTGACACCCAACATAAAGACTGAGTCACTTCCAGTTGCAGAGTGCATCTCAATGTCTCTTACTGAATCCTTTGATATCAGAAGTTGCTCTAAACTCTACATCGACGCGATGCCTTAACCCATCCTTTACCCTCAGGTGCGAGTTGACTTCACAACGCAGCAGCGAACACCGAAGGCTTCAGCACAGCTCATATCCGATCTCTGCAAGGCGGGCCCAAATCGCTACCCTTGTAGGCGACAGGCAGCTTGCCACAACCTGCCGACCAGATTGTCATAGTATCGATGTGCTAATTGACGCAAAGGCATGCAACATAAAGCAGTCGTGCTAATTCCAGGGTGGCAAGCTGAAAGTGCCCTCGAGAGTTCAAGCGTCTTCTGAGTTCATTCCGTACCTTGGCTTGCAGAAGGTGTTCGCGCTTCAGTGTTGCCTGCTGGAGAGCGAATGTGTGATGAAGACTGTGCTGGAGCATGTGTCCATGCCGGTCTCTGTATTAAGATCCAAGGTACAATGGCCGGGGCAAGGACGGACTTTTCATGCTTGTCAATGTTTCCGCCCATCTCGATGGCAGTGTGACGGAGACACAGATGAACGCACAAATATGTTGGCTACACTCCGGTCGGTAAATACTGCGAGCCGAAGCTTTTCTTGGCGGCTGGAGGAGCCTGAGGTCGAGCCAAAGAAGGTGGCAGCTCCGGCCTTGTCCAGGGCGGACGCTAAGCGCTTCTCGGCATGCAAAAGCGGGCGCCAAGACCAACACCTGGAACTCTCAGGGCAGAGTCGACTTGAAGGGTTTCAAATTTGCGACAAAAGCAGCAAGCAAGCAGCTTATTTAATACGCTTTGGCCCTTTGACTTCAGTGGCTTGTACTATCGTATCTCAGCGAGTGCTTTAGGAGTTTCAGGAGATTCGGAGACTCCGGCAGAAGGCGTTGCACGTGTATTTCGAAGGGGCGCCGCTTTGGCAAACATGTTGAAGCATGTTGCCTGTGTAAGCTATACAAGAGTTGATCGCATCGCAGCATGGCCGATGACTTCCAATCACAGCAGAACCCAATCCTGAAACGGATGCAGCGAAGGAATGCTGGAAGAGTTGCTCGGCCGGCAGTTGGCATCGGTGCAAGATATCACTCAGGCGCAGGCACGCTTGTGGAAGCGTTTGCATCCGAAAATAGGGGTAAACGTAGTACCTGCGAGCTATGATACAGTTGACTGCCAGACCATCGCTTGAAACAGCATTTCCAGTTGGGCCTTCCAAGGTTCGTCACGCGCTACCAGGATGGGTAGTTTGCCACAAGAGGGCCCAGGGAGGGAGAGCAAGTCAGCAAGGATTTTTTTCGGTGCAACGCCAGGACAGGCGCGAGTGATTCATGCAGTTTATTTGTGGCTCATGACTCCAAGACTGTCTCCGGATTCGCAGCAAGCGATGCAACAAGAATGACAATCAAATCTGCGAAAGTTGCAGTTGACTTTCGTTGTCGTGGCGAAGCACTGCACAAATCAACAGACCAAGAACGAATGTGCAGCTACGAAGATGGCAGCCTCTGAAGTTCGATACTGTGAAGCGCAGCTGCTATCCCGCTACGCTGCGCGTTAGAAGTTGATGTCTTGCCAGGACGATCATTTTCAGAGCAAGATGGTGACTTTGCAGCAAGCCAGCCTGCGTCGTTGTGATGGTGGTTATGCAGGGAAGTGCAGAAACAAGGTAAGCTGTTTTCAGCAGTATCTCATCCACAACGATGCTACTTGCCTCGCAGACAGCATGGCAAGGCACGTCGTGCTTGAACCTTTCATGTGCACTGGGGGCAGACCTAGGCGTTCTTCATGTATCGCATGCATGCATCAATTCTCGCAAGCCCTTGAAGGTTCTCGGCACCCGCATCAAAGGGTTCGCGGTGGGTTTGTGCTAGACTGGACCGTTGTAGCGAGACGTCCGAGGAGATGCGCCTCCTGAAAGCCCGACGCAGCCTTTGCATGCCCATACAGGCTGCGCTCCAGGGACAGGATAGCGCTTCTGAAAACATCAAAATCCGATCGCTCAACACTGATGTTTATCACTTACTTGTTTGTTTCAATTCCGTGCCGAAGTCATCGAGCCTTTCACAGTTCAGATGCCTCGTGCTTGGTTTTCCTACATCCACAGCGCCCTGAAAGGCCGAGATCATTCCTAAGCGGCGTGGATGCAAAGAGGGCCCGTTACCTTTGAGACCTGTCGCTGAGCCACGAAGGGCTACGCGAGATTTCCGAAATTGTGCAACTAGCTCTGGAGTGGCAAGATATCGCAAGAGCACATAAAGACCCCGCTCGGGATTCACCCTGTCTTCAGCACCAATCGAGGGATTCCTCTTCTGCAGCAAGGTACGGCTTTGAGCCCACAGCTCGCGGTGTCAGCCGCGTTCAGGACCAACCAATGACTCGTGTATGATGTGGGGCTATGTTTGGCACTGGTATTCGGAAGGCTCAAAAAGATCTCAAAAAGGCTACAGGTTGTTGCGATCGGGGCTTGGTACTGTGTGGATCGCGTGCACCACGGACACAGGTCTAAAGAAGCATGAAGATTCCTGATATCTGGCCAGAATCTGACCACTCCTTTCTCCCCTCGAGGCCACCTTGAGCGCTCCTGCACTGACAGAGGACTTCTCGCGTCTTAAGCAAGTCTGTCTTCTGGACGATGCAATGCTGAACCATGCAAGTGCTTGTGGCAGTGTAGGCCTGGAGATCCTTCAAGTGGCAGCTGCTGAGGGAGTGTGCCTCAGGCTTGCTTGTAGCAAAACGCAAAGTCGAGTGTGTCAGGACCCCGACATCAAGCAGATGAACGAGCTCGCCGCTTCGCAGAGACTACTAAGAAGCGGGCATACTCTGGTTACTCTTGTTTTCCTTCTCCGGAAGCTGTAAGTCAGTCAGCAACAGTAAACGCACTACGGGCAGCGCTTTCGGCCCTGCGAGGAAACACTACCTTTCCCGGCCCTTCCCCCATTCCAGCTTCTGGCTCCACGTGTTGGGGCACCGGGCCGAGTTTGTGCTGCCCAGGTCGTGTACTTGACCGGGGATTTTCCGAAGACAAAGGCTGCGGAAGGGGCAACTGTCTGATGGCGCGAAGGCCTCGGACTGCGCTTTGCAAAGCTGCGTGCGTTGCGGCTTTAGTCTCGGCGCGGAGGGACGCCATGTCGCTAAGGCTTTCGTGGCTTACATGTTGGTCATGCTCAATTGCATGCGGCACGGAGCTCCAGACTCATGCTGATCTCGGCAGTGCTGCCGATGGCAAGAGATGAAAAAAGGACTTCCTTTAGCTTGGATGTCGCCGTCACGGCAGGTTTTGCAGTGCCGGAAAGTGAGTTCTCACGAGGGCACAGGCGGAGTGGAGGTCGATGCATTAGCTTTAATTAGCTTTAGCAGTCGTTGTTGGATGAGACACGTTTCTTCGCGAGGCCTCGTTTGATTCAGGTTGTTCTGGATTGCCGTACTCTCCCTCTGTTACCTGACTGCACTGAGGTTGCGCCTGCAAACTTCGACCGCAGGTTCGACACTGCAAAGCCGTTGCTTTCCACCGCCTAGGTGACAGTAGCTCAGGCTCAGAAAGCCCCGAGCTTGTGCAGCCAGGTTTTGGAGCAAGTCTTAGAGCGACTGCGAGCCCGGGCCCAGGGCGGTGCTGTCGCTCCGAAGCTCTTCGGCTCTTGGCGTCCGCACTTGCGACGGCTCACATCGAAACCATAGGACAGATGTCTTGCGACTTGTGTTTGCTCATCGGGGGCCGTGGTCGTCCTTAGCTGTTCGGCTCGAGCGAACGGCTGGACCAAGTCATCCCTTCATGGTCCACTAAAAGAAACATTTCGGCACAGATCTCAGCTGCAGGCAACTTCTGTCGCGAGCGCAAGATGTCGAGCTTGGAGTACCGTTGCTGTGGTCAGAACCTTTGCCAAGCCGAGGTCTGATTGAAGCAGTTACAATGAAGTTGGTCAGCAGGCACCTTCGGTAACGGCAACAGAACTCATGTAAGCTTCGTTCCTGCGGCTTCTGGTCCACTCCTTGTTGAGTGTGCTTGCAGGTGTGTCTTGGTGGCCCTACTTTTCGCACAAGGAGGTCATGCTTTCCGAAGGAAGAAGGCTGGATACCCAGAATTACCTAGAGTGACTGATGCCAAACCCGTGCTTCCCATTAGCACGAAACAGCTCAAGAAACTGCACCGGTCACGAGTGCTGCAGATGCGCTGTGTGGCCCGTGCGATCAGCCCTGGAGTAGGTTGAGAAGACCAGCCTGCGGCGTCAGGAGCCAAAGGCACGGGTCGCCACGTCCTGATTCGCCTACAGTGCTTTGAAAACTTCAGCCGATGCAGGCTTTACTCGAAGAGCTGGAGCAGGTCCTCGGTGCAGAGCACCGTGAGGCACTGGGGTGCCGCAGGGGTCACTTCAGAAATAAAGACATCTGGCAGATTTGCAGATGGCTGCATGCAATCGCCAGATGATGGGGATCGTTAGAGGAGGTAACCGACTTTTGTAGTCGTGGCCAACAGAGTGCGTGCGTCGACTCATGTTACCACGAAGCGTGATCAGATTAGAACGACTTGCCACTTCCATGCATACTTCACGATTTCCGATGTCATTGAGTCATCCAACAGAACAGCACATCACTCAATGTGGTTGGGGATTTAGCTTCAGGCGGCCGAGCAGCGGCTGCATGAGTTCGAGGACGACCTTCGCATCACCTTCAAGGCTTTGGGCTCAGCTCGTTTGGGTCCACGATTTACGTGTGATCAGATGTCGCATCTCTTCAGCTGCCGATATTTTCTTCAGCTCACATCCCGCAGGCTTTGCCAAAAAACGGTCGTGGCGCCGTGGCAGCTCCATCTGCGCGCTATGCACTGCACAGGTTCCGACTGCAAGTCATACAGTAGCCACGGAAAGACTGAGACAAGCCTGGAACGAAGGACCGCATCAGGGTAGCGAGACAGAGCGAAACGTCAATGCCTGGCAACACCGTGCGAGGCTGTTCAACCAGCGCCACGGCTGGCAAATCAAAGGCCTTGAGACCGCTGGAGGCCTGCTGTGGAGCGCTTTAACGGTTTTGCCATCCGAACCTCTGACAGGTGCCTGGGATGCAGATTCGCCAGTTACGGCGATGGGAGATCGGGTGCCGCCGAAGATGTGCCTTGAGCCAGATTAATAGTTCAGGTCGAAGATGCGGCAAACTCTTGGACGGGTGTGTCAGTGGCCTGGCTTGAGCCTAGGCGCGAGCTCTTCGAGGACTTCTTTCCTTGCCGAGCTGCTGTCCGTGCGGGAAATGCCTAATGCTCGTGAGACCGGTTGTCAAAATGAGGCACACTGCTCTGGGCTGTATGCGGCTGATGGAAAAACTAGCGCTCTCGATGAAACAAGCACGGCCTCGGTGAGACCGCTTCAGAGCCTAAGCAGAGGGAAGCCCGGCACGAGTGGAATTTTCCGGCGGGGGCTTGGGCAGGACCGCCTGGGGTCCTACGGGATGACACTGCACGAGCTCGCCATCCTGGCCGCAACGTTTCTCGGGTGGAGAAAGTTGAAGGTTGCGTGGTGCGATTTTGCAGTTCGACCGAGGATGGACAAGATGTTCGAGACGGACGTTGCGGAGCGGCTGCGAATCGTTTACAAGGCCTCGGCGCTGAAAGCTGAGGACAGCTCGGGGTAATAACTTCAATAACGGCTTGCCAAGTGTATCTCTAAGTCTCTAAGTCTCCCAGAGTCAGATGGCACATGCAAGCACTGACGAGGTGGTGCCAGGTAGGTCGATCCAAGCAAGATCTCATGCCCGCGGCCAGTGGGGATGCCTTTTCGAGCACAGGGTTTGGGAAACCTAAGAGGTTTTCGGGGCGACCTTGCAGGACCTCATCACCTACAACCAGGCAAGCTGAGCAGGGCATGTATTGAAACCCACGCTGAACAAAGGTAGTGCATGGTCCGAGTGGGCTGCTGAGTGGGGACCGAGCTGTGGGCAGCTTCAGCATCCGATGTTAGCGTTCCCACAATCGCATCTTCTTGCCACACTTCCCCATGTTTGTGCCTCGCGGCCAGGCGAAGAACGTCCTGTGGACCTATGCTCCTGAGCAGTGTTAACGTTAAGTGCAAGGACTGTGAGGGCAGTTGATTCAGGGAAAAGTACTGACCTCTGGCATAGAAACACGTTAGTTTTGGGTACTAATAGCAGTGTTGTTACTGCAGTGGGGAGCCCTGGTTTGACTGTTGACTCCTTGGTACTGCTCTGCGAGGTGGCAACCTTCATCACTGGACCGCAAGTGGAGAGCCTCACTGAAGGACCGGAAGATAATGATACTGCCCGCGACGACCTAGTGCCCATGTCTGGTCTGCAAGAGTGGTGAGGGCGGCTCCGCACACAAAAGTATCGTTCATCTTCTGAAGGAGAAGTGCACAAGGCCCTTGAGCACTTCACGACCAGGTGCGGGGCCAAGGATGAACCCACTCTAAGTCTAAGATGTGCTTCGGCAAGGCAAGATCAGAAGCGGTACAGTAGCAGAATTTGACAGGTTTCCGCGCCACACAGAAGCCAAAGAACTGCTGACGACGATTGCAGCAGAGGCAGGGTACAAACGCCTCACTGGTAGCCTTTGCCGAGGGCTTGAGCAGGTTCGAAACAGCTGAGCACACTGACATAGCGTCGCCAGCACTTCTTGCGTCTCACCCTTCTGGCACTGTGAGTTGCAGGCGACTACTATAGATTTTCTGCACAAGCCTTACAAAAGTCAAAATCTTCTTCGCAAGACGAGTGAGAGAACCATATTCTTATCGAGTCTATTGATGTGTCTAGGTCCAGCTTCCTACATGAAAATATGCAATGCCGGCAGTTTGGCAATGCTTGTGTAAGTTCAGCTGTTCTTTGGGAAGCGGGAGCCGGCTTAAGCTTATTGCTTGCTTCTAGGTCTAAGTTCGCCCATGCAGCGACAGTCACGAATCTCTGGCGCACGGTGAAGGGGTCGACATGCCTTGCGCAATATCCTCAACCCTGCTGTGGAGGTTGCCGGACACTTGACGTCCTATGCGCTTCGGCTTGAAGCTTTAGCGGGCAACCAATCAGGATTACGGCTGATAGAGCCGAGCAGATCGGTTGAGCGGTGTGGAGCGGGTCTTTTCTCACGGACTCACAGTTCAGTGTGCTGGTCTGAGGACTTTGAGACCCTGCAGAAGATCCTGTCCAAGTTTGGTCAACGCCTTGGCGCACTGGAGGACACCGAGTGCAAGGCCGGGGCAGTCATACGGTCCATCGATTGCATGCTTTGCTGAGACTATTCGCAGGTCATGAAGAACAGGTTGACTTCACTGGAGCATCGTGAGGGCAGTGGTCTTGTTCGCTACTTGCCCGCAGTTTTCTTCATATCGTCCGGTGGTGCCAACATTATGTCACAGCAGCCAACTCGAATTGAGGCCTGGGTGATTTCTATGGCAATGACAGGGCATCCTCCTCAGGATGAATTTTACTCGTTGTAAGGTCTGGTGTGGATGTAGGACACGGGGTGCGAAGCCCTTTGAGCCCTTGACAGTTTGACTTCCACTTCACCGAGAGCCCTTCCTACTTGCGTGGAGCGGGTCTCCTGGACGAGTCGAACCCGGATGACCCCAAGGCGCGGCTCACGTGACCAGACTCCCCGAAAACGCTACGGTAGCGTTCCGTCTGAACCAACTCACTCCTCATTTGACACGTCAGTCTAGTCTAGCGGCTAGGGTTTTCTGTCCGAATCCAGTTGTCCTGAGCCTTGCCTGCATTGCGCGAGTCGCGAGAGCCAAAAACAGGAACACCGAGAGTGAGTGTCAAAAAACTGGACGCGGCTCGAAGCTTTTGGTTTCGTTCCGGCGGGAAACTACGATGTGAGCTGAGATCCCTCGCGCTCCTAACGTTACATGAAGTCCCATCCAAGATCGAGCAATTGTAGTTCCACTTGCAGTTACTTGACTAATTGATGTGGAAACGATACCGTGCATACGGTAGGACGGCTCAGAATCTATAGTGGGGTGGCGTCGGAGTTGTGGGCTGCCGGTTGTCATGACGGCAGTTTGGGTGCTGTTTGTGGAGCTCGTCGTGTTGGTGATGTAGGCCACCTCAACATTTCA